AACACGGGACGGTTTTTTTATTGTGTTCTCTCAATCTGGTTTCCAATTTTCTTCCTATTTCTCCTATGTAGAATTCTGGGCAGTTATTGCATGTTATTTTATAAATAATGTTGGTATTGTGTGATTCTAAATAATTTTTGTTTAGTAACGATTTTAATTTAGGGCCAGGTTTTTGTGAGAATTTAACGTTGACAGGAATATTGTGTTTAATGGCTAGTTTTGTCCAAATGTGGAGAATTTTTGAGCTGGTTTCAGGAACAAAAGGTAAACTGCAGTGTAATGTACTGTTGTTGGTTTTGTTAGTGTCAATTTTGTTCGTGAGTTGAGTTTTGTTGTGGGGAATGTTGGAGAGTTTTTCAACAAGTTATCTTCAGTTGCATCACCTTTTGTTGTGTATTTAAGCACCATTTACAGTAGCTTTTTATACTGCAATGAGATAGAAAGCTAAGACAGATGTATGTGCAATTGTGTTTTCTGATATGCTTGTATTAAATCAACTGGCATGGTAATGTCCATGTGTAGTGTATTTTGTTGATATTGAATACTGGAGTGTTACATCTATAACATTGAACTCTAGACTTATTCTAAACCTCTGGTGTTTCAAACTGAATTACTTTTATATATATATATACATGTTCTTATTGTCTGATAGCTTTGGTGATGTAGATGATACTAAGGTAAATTGATTTGATGAATATTGTTATTAGAAATGACATGACAGAGGGTGTCCATATGAAACTTAGTGAATTGAACACAATGTTTGTGAAACATTAGTATTGGTTTGTTATTTAATATTTTTATTTCATCTGTGGATATTTTAGAACAAATGTTCCCAAAAGAAACATGCTAAGGTGTAGTAAAACCTTTTAAACCTTAAAGATGGTAATTTAGAAAATGTTTTGACAATTATATGAAGTTTTTTACGGTATATGTTTTACTTATATTGAACAGCTATCACAACACAAACATTATATGGCAGCTACAAGCAGTATTAGTCTTCTCATGTTGTAAATTTCATATTAAACTTTTAGTAAATGGTTGAATTGCTCATTATTTTTCTCTCCATGAGAAAAAAACAGAGAATCTGTTTTATATAACATATATACAGTACAACTTGTTAGTACTTATGATCTTTGAGTAACCAATTTTGTAATTGTAAAAACAACAAGAACCTTAGAGAGGAAGTGCTCATAAACATAATGCAGCATGTACATTTAAAATAAATCGGTTTTGTTTGTTTGAAGGTAACATAGTTCATGGAAATGCCATCAGAAGAAGAACCAAAGTTGTCTGTTAGTGCAGAACTACCACAAGCTGACCCGCTGAAGTCTGAAGGTTCCAAAAGCTGTGAAACAATGACAGAAAGTGTTTGTAATAATGATAAAAGTGGTCTTGACACTGAACAATCAACAGAAAATCATAAATTGAACTTAGAAAGCCCATTAAATTCTGATGATATTAATTTTGGGCCAGAGATAGAAAAAAAGATGATAGTGAAAAAATTAGTGATGATGATGATGACGACGATCTTCCTTCTTTAGAAGATATCAAGAAGACTGAGGAAGAGATTAATAGTGGAGGAAAATTTAAACCTTTTAGGATTGAAGATGAGCCAACAAGACTAACAGATGAAGACGGATGGTTAGATATATTAGGAAGTGGAGACCTGAAGAAAAAGGTACATAAAAATAACTATACACTTCTAAATTTTTTCTTTAAATCAATGTAACAAGTTCAGTTAGATAATTCTATTTACACTAAAACAAAAAATGTGTAGTAACATCATTGCTTACGACACTAATACAGATGGGCAACCTAAAATCATAGTGAAAATGATGTAAAAAGAGGAACAAAACATGAAATAAACAAATGTAAAATAAATCATAACTAAATAAAGAAAAAAAATTGATTTGAAAAGTAAAATTATCTGGAGGGTAATAAACGAAGATCTACGATCATAATGTCCATCCTGTGTCACGATTATTTTGCAGCTTAAATATCAAAATAAGTAAGGCTCCTTCATATTCACTATCAAGAAAATCATTAGCTGTAGCAAGGATTTTTATTTGTAAAGGACATTCAGATGCCAATCAACCATGTAGTAAAACTTATTTTTTATTAAAACTGTTCAAATATCTGTGAAACATTTACACAATGGAGGTTTTCACTTTTTTTTTTGGAACCACGAAGTTAGCTTATCATATCTAATATGTGCATTAATACTGTAGCAAAACCTACCACAGCCCTGTTTCCCATAGCAACTTTTTTTTTTGTCAAACTTAAAATAGCTGTTGGTCAGAATAAAATCATTTTAAAAGTTCGAGAGGACTCCTTTGGTGTGTTTCTAAAGTATTTGTTATTGCTGATAAGCCTTCATTGGTATGTATTGATAAGTAGAAAGGAATTACATCTAGGCATAAAAAGAATAGTGCATCTTCTAGATTTCATAGGAAGTAATTTGTATGAATTGGAACTTAAGATAACAGTGGGTGGATTATCTTTTTTTATTAACCAGGAAAGAAACTGTTGCTGATTCACAGATGAATGCTATTGGTTGGAGTGGCATCTCTTTATGTGGTCTTTTGTTAAGCTGTAGAACTGTCTCATAATGCTGTGATTTGGTTTCAGCGATTCCAGTAATTTCTTGGGTATTTTGTTGTTATGTTCAAGTTCGTTAAACAAAAGTTTAGTTTTTATTTTGTTATCAAAAGTGGAATTCCATGTGTATTGGTAGTTACTTAAATAGTTATAACTGCTTATATAGGTGGCATCCATCTTTGTCTCTCAATAGTAGTATTGAGGTTTTTCAGCTTAGATTCTTATTCTTAAAAGAATGTTTGCTAAATAACATTTTATATGAGTAATAAAACTTTCAAGCACGTAGGAAGCTTTGGGTGGTTGTATTTTAGGTATATCAAATGACAGTTAAATTCAAATAGTCACTTACTTCCTGAAATATTTATAGAAGAAAATTTCCCAACAGTCTGTGTGGTGTTCTTGCTGTGATTAGTATTTGTGTTTTTCTTTCTTTGATTTTTATATTCAGTGAAAGCAGACCATCGAAGTGAGCAAATTACCTTTCTCGTTGCTTTTTCTTATGACTTTATGTATCACCTGATAAATTGATGTAAAATATGAATGATCACAGTAACAGGTGGCTGGCTGGACTTATGGGAAAACCTCAAGCCTTTAGATAATGAAAATCAAACTTAATCCACCTAAAACTATATTATTTCAAGTGGTTATATCTGTCAATTAAATAAAACACAAGAGAATGCAAATTAGCAGCATTTACCAACTATTAAAATGGACTGTTTCACAAGCTAACAATTCTTAGAAATATTTTTCTAAGTCTGGATCCTTAGGCATTATAAGCTTGTGCTAAGTAAGTATAATATTCAAATCATTTATATCAGTCACGAAATGTAAAATCCTTCCAACAGTTATGTTAATCAACACCTAAGAATATAGTATCCAAATACCTTGACTAGTGTATAGACATTTGAATTTGAACACCTTGTGATCCAGCAAAAACAAATGCTAGTTTTCAACAATAGTTCACACTTTTCAGACCCGATGCCCTTTTCAACAGATCAAACCATATTGAAAAGGAGACCAAACTGAACAAGATATAATTGAAATGAAATTAGTAAGAGTTTCAATCAGAATATCAGTAATTTATATTTTATAACTTATGTCTGGAGTTAGATCCCAAAACCTGGTTATCTCAAGCCATCACAACCAGACACACATGGAGTGAGATTTCTCTCGACACTCATGCCCATGATACAAACATTCATATCAAGTATCAACCAGATATTGGGAACATTTTGGTTGATTAATATCACTACAACATTTAAATGTGATACATGTACTTAGCTTTTCAAACATAAGTAAATTTTGTTCTACAACAAATCCAAAAAGATAGTGGGGTCAACTGACATTATGCTTTAACAGCTAAATTATCTCAGATATTGTAACTATAAATATGAGGTAATTCTTTCCTTAGAAATATACTGGTGTAGTGATGTTGGCCATTTTACTGATATTGCTGTATCAACCATATTGGGTTAATTTGCCAGTATATCAGTATTGGATGATATTTAGAAAATGTTAACAATTGTTGAACTGATAACTCTTTATCCTATCTTTGTGATTTATGAGTTCACTTGAGGTGTGGAAAAAAAAAAGACTTAAGACTTTTCTTATTAAAAAAAAAATTATTTTTAGTTGAGGCAACAGGGCTTTAAAAATGAAAACAAAACTGATTTTAGTGCAAGAAGAAAAACAGAAAATTTTTCTTGGAAGTTACTAAGCTGAACTTTAAAAAAACAATAGAGCTAACCTCTCTTTTGCTGAATTTCTAACTTTTCCTTACATATTTCTGGTCATGTAAACCCGTACAAACAAGGTGTGTTTGCTATTTTTATGTTACGACTAGAGGTGTAGCCCCATGGTCTTGCATGTGTGACTGGAGTGTACACACAGCTGATTGGTTAATTAAGGTCATGAATATCTAAGTTACCATTTGAGATAAGTCAGACCTCAGCTTCAGCAGGACACAACTACTCCAAATTGAAGCCATGGAGGAATGACATAATGAAGAGTACATGTATATACTTGAGATTGTGTATTGAATAGATCTGTTTTTGGATATATATACATATCTGTTGATATAGTTGGTAAGTTCCTGTACTATTAACAGGTAATAAAAACTGGTGAAGGAGCAGGTACTCGCCCACAGCGTTCTAACTGGGTGACAGCCAGACTAACAGGAAAGCTGACTGATGGAACAGTAGTGGAGCACTTTGATAGCCTAAAATTCATTCTCGGTGATACTGATGTTATCCAAGGTAAAAATATTTTACCTGAAGGGTATGTGTATTAATTAAATCATCTTATTAATAAGTAAGCTTGGTTTACTCACCACAAATGATATAAACATTTTATGGATCTGATTAGATATTGCATACAAATATTTAAATAATTTACTTTTCCAGTGTTTTAACTTGCCTCTATTAATGATGTTACTCCTCCTTCCTCTTGTGTCGCTGTTTTGTCGAAGTTAATCATAGTTTAAAATATATTGCACGTATCTACAATTTATTTATAACTATATACGTTTTACTCCAGATATATTTGTATACAATAAAGTATTTTTGAAGTATTGTCAGATAAGCGTGAAAAGAAAACTTGAGAGTCAAATAGAATAAACCTTATTATATAGTACACTTGTCTAAAGACAGTTTGCTTTAGATTCATTTAATTATGTAGAGTAAAAAGTACATTAAACAATACATATTGTCATTTGTAAGTATAAGAATAAATACACACATATATAGATGTTTAAGTTACTTATTCATAGTTAGTAACTGGAGTAACTTCAGTTTGCCCCTGAAGAAGAAAGGTCCACCTTTTGAAAGCGCTCGGGTTATAGGGTTTTTTATTCATTAGTAAATGGAGAAATCTTCTTTGTAAATAAATATTTACAAGTTTCCAGTTTTCAGGTTATCTGTACTTACTTGAATTTCACACCCGAGATTCTTTTTTATTGTAAGTTACAAACTTTGAGACTAGTTCAGCTGTTACTAGTAATTTTTTCCATTTATTTTGATAATAAAATATTTGGGTAAGCTACTGATACCCATAGAATTATTTGGAGGTGTTTTTGTTCTCTTCTGTACATCATGTCTAGGTAAAGAACATAATTACAGAATTTCCAATGTTTTTACAAGAAAAACACTAATGGAAATAAGACCATTTTATGAAAGTTTAAGGAGTAACTTTTTATAAACTTTTTTTGAATAATATTTTGCAATTAGTTACATCCATGTGATTACCATTTCCAAAATCTTAAATTAAGGTTCCAAGTCTTTGATTTTCGTCTTAAGCATCTGTTTAGCACAATTTAACAAGTGAATTAAAAATTATTCTAAAGGTTTTTTATATATATATATAAATGAGTGCTTATGATAGTCATAAAATTAACTTTTTATGACTTGTGCATCTCAGTAGATTTTTAAGTAATTTTTTATTTGTCTTCAGTAAAATTCAGGAATGGCAGTGAATTATTTAGTAGTCTTATTTCATAAATATTTACACATATTTACTTCATCCTAAAATAGGCATTCCTCGTGTCATACGGTTTAAGACATTAATTGAATGAAATTAATCAGAATATTATACAACATATAAATGTTCAATTTGTTAAAGCAACACTAAATAACCGGATAAAATTTCATATGTACATAGGACTCGACTTGGCTATAGCCTTAATGGAGAAAGGAGAGACTGCGGAAATTATAGTTCCTTCTAGGTTAGGATATGGAAATATTGGCAGGTACAAATTTCCTATTTTCTTTATTGCCTGCAAAAACTTATTATTGAGTGATCACTGTATTTATGATTAAGACTTAATTTTCAGAGTGAATTCCAAAAGAAAATATATAATTTATTGAGTGTTTTTGACCCTATTATGACCGGTGA